TGTATGTATGTAACAGGTATATGCCATTCTCCCGCGAGATCTTCTTTAAAACTACGCTGTGGAACGTGAGATTGTATTGTTACATTTTAAAATATCAATATATTTTCATGACCTCAGTGTTTGTTTATTAGTTATGAGATAAACGAGAACATTAGAGGGACTATTATAAAATTGTGAGTCGTGTCCATGCAAAACTAAAATGTTTTATCAAATAACCTAAACATGCACTATGTGTGTAAACATTTAATTTAATTAAAACAACAATAACTACATGAAGATGGCAGAGTAAATGTGAATACATTGGGATATACAAACAAAAGAAAGGCATCAGCTCAGAGGAATTCTAGCTTACACTGTAAAAAACAAACAACAAACAACAACAACAGCAACAACAACAAAAAAGGACATTATCCATTATTTTTATGGACATATGATGCAGCAAAAATAGACTTTTATAGCAAGTCTGAAGGGTGTTATTTATATTTTTCTCATTTATATCTCATAACTTATGAACCGTAATGTAAAGTGAACAGATTTGAATAATGTATTAATGAGTTATCAACGTTAATAATCTGTGAAAGTGAACCTTAATGTAAAGTGAACACCTGTGAACCATTTATTAATGCCTTATAAACGTTAATAACCTGTGAAAGTGAACCTTAATGTAAAGTGAACACCTGTGAACCTTTTATTAATGAGTTATAAACGTTAATAACCTTTGAACGTGAACCTTAATGTAAAGTGGACACCTGTGAACCATTTATTAATGAGTTATAAACGTTAATAACCTGTGAAAGTGAACATTAATGTAAAGTGAACACACTAATCATTTAGTTATTATTAATGCACACACTGAAGGGTATTTTTTTCCCCAAGTGAAATGTAGTTTATTGTTGATGCACTATATCAGTAAACAACAACAACTTGAAACAACATTCCTGAGCATAACTGCACACGAAAAGTGGCTTAAACAAGTCACATTAAACAATTCAGAAAAAACAATCAAATATTCCACCAAATTATAACTAAGCATCACATCTATATGACAACAATATTTGATAAATGCAAGCTCAGTAAAGGCACCTAAATATTTATATTTTAGCTAATGTAACAGTTTTGAAATAATCATTAAATCAATTTCCGAAAGCACCGTTACAGAACATTATCATATTAATAAGCAATCAGTAATGATTTTTGATATCACGATAAAGCCCACTGTAACATGAGTGTTTGACTATCCACACTTTCAGTACCTGCGTGCGAGCGAACCGTCCGCAGGAGCGCCGGCGCGGTTATTTATTTGTACAGTAACTACATTGAACTAACACAGCGATATCAACACTTGATAAACACAGTCTGCCATGTCACCTCACAGTTAGCTTACCCGTAAAATCAGTAAACACTTATGTGAGATTAAAATTTCACTTCAGAGCACGTTAGAACAGTCCTAACAGCGTGACTTTTCTCTTGAAAAGTGGCTTCGTATCGAATGCTCACCAGCGCCAACTACAGGCTCTGGTGACACGCAGGCAACTACAGACACAGGCTCTGGTGATGTGATCCTGAAAAATTATAATAAATATGTATTATATGCAATTAATTATTTTTTGTTCGTAGTAGTAGTAGTAGCTACTACTAAAAAGAATACATTGAATATTATACATATTTGTCACAGATTTGTAGTGAAGGGCTGTGAGGAAGTAGAATTCAGATGCAGCAGTACCTACTCTTTTTATTAAGAAGATTATTGAACACAGAGCATCGTAGGAGAACAAACCATCCACATAAAAACAAAATCAGACAACCAAAGGTTAAAATTCATGGGCTATAATACACAAGAGCCAAAGGAAAAATGAACAAAACACAACAGATACAGAATACAAATACAACAGATTGCAATAATATTATAATACAAATCTCTAAGCAGACGAACACAAACCTAAACATGACAATAATATATAAATACATTATATATTACATATGATTATAATAATATGTAGATTATCAACATTAGAAACCTGTGATAGTTCATGTAAATTATATGTTGTTATATAATTTCTGATCATTTCTGATGTGCAAATTTGTGTCTATTTTTGCCTTATTTGTTATACACTGTTACATTTTGGAAATAAAAAAAGGATCACATCACTAAAGCCTGTGTCTGTAGTTGCCTGCGTGTCACCAGAGCCTGTAGTTGGCGCTGGTGAGCATTCGATACGAAGCCACTTTTCAAGAGAAAAGTCACGCTGTTAGGACTGTTCTAACGTGCTCTGAAGTGAAATTTTAATCTCACATAAGTGTTTACTGATTTTACGGGTAAGCTAACTGTGAGGTGACATTGCAGACTGTGTTTTTCAAGTGTTGATATCGCTGTGTTAGTTCAATGTAGTTACTGTACAAATAAATAACCACGCCGGCGCTCCTGCGGTCAGTTCGCTCGCGCGCAGGTACTGAAAGTGTGGATAGTCAAAACTATCTAAGTGAGCTTTATCGTGATATCAAAAATCATTACTGATTGCTTATTAATATGATAATGTTCTGTAACGGTGCTTTCGGTCATTGATTTAATGATTATTTCAAAACTGTTAAAGCTGCAGTCCGTACCTTTTTTTGATTAAAAATGATCCGAAATCAAGAGAGAACCATAAATACAACACCCTTCAGATTCGCTATAAAAGTCTATTTTTTGCTGCATCATGAAATAAATCAGGAATCTAGTTTTGAATGAAACAAGTATTAATAAATAAATTTATTAAGCATTTATACCATGTGAGTTAAAATGGCTCACTATTTGGCAGGCATTGCATTAAAATCACCCCTTTTATTCATGCATTTATAACTGCTTATCAATAATTTATAATGCATTTGTAAATTAGTTACTTTTCTCCACATTTGTTTCTGTGATTCAGCATGAACTCTAGTGCATAAAGCTACTGATAGCTTAGATCTTTATCTTATCTTTTACAGTTGTTTAGTAGTGTTGTTTCAAGGGCTTGCTGTAAACAATCGGCCAGGTTTAGCCGATGTTTGATTTGGCCAGAGACACACTGGCTTGTGTCGACAGTTATTGGATTATGTGGTCATGAAGATAAAGATGATATGTAACCAGCATCATCCTGTTTGCATGTTTATCCTTCATGCGTACTATCTCCATCAACGCTTGCTGAAAATTAACCCATCATTTTCTGGAATAGTGTTGTCTTTAGACCTCTGTTTCAGGCTTAGCAGTGCATACTGTGGTATGGTAGTAGTAATAACATGATTTTTTGAGTAGCAGTTGCCCTTTGGCTCTAATCTAGGAGCAGCCTCTCAAATCCTGATCCAAACCATGACCATCGTTGGAGAGAGGCACTGGCTCCAGATCAGAAAGACAGGGAGACTCCAGGGTGTGGTTTGCTGTGGGAAAGGCTGGTTGTTAAGCTCTCTGGAGGTGGAGTGCACTCTCTAGTCATCCCCTGCGTGACCCCTGAAGCACTGCTCAGGGCCCGGGAGCACTGGTACATCCTGCCGTTGGGTGTGTGAGAGCAGGGAGATGGCCACACTTTCCTGTCTACGCCAAGACTCCATCTGTGTGTGTGTGTGTGTGTGTGTGTGTGTTCAGGGTCCAAATTAAGGTCAGCAATCTAGCAGTTCACCTTCTCAGTCGAGGTCTTTCTGAAAAATGTTTCATTGGACCAGAGCATTTTGGGTCATTTGTTTTTTTTTATACTTCTAGGCTAGTGCATACCTGTCAACCCTCCCGTTTTTCCCGGGATTCTCCCGTATTTTACCATTCTATCCTGCTATCATCCCGTTTAAATATTTTCCCGTATTTTTAATCTTTCTATAAAAAAAATCCCACTGGGCGTATTTTATATGTTTGCTACGTTCACTTCTGGTAAAACTCCCGTAATTTGTATGGGCCAATCCTTATTATATGAATAATCACGACAACAAATTCCAAGGTTGTCCAGTTGCCAGAACTTGTATGAAACGCATCTTTCTCACACGATCGACGTATGCACATTTCAACCCATTTGTCCCCCCAACTTGGCAACCTACAACAGTGAGTGCGTTTACATGCACCTTTTAATGCGATTATAATCAGATTTTGGCAATATTGCGATTAAACATTACCTCATGTAAATGCAATACTTCGATCTAAATAA